AACCCGTGGTTCAGTGCGGAATGGACATCGGTTTCCACGTGGACTCATTGTACTGCAAACTACTCCGGGGTTGTTGACCACAAAATCGAGGCGCTGGGCTGAATGCAATCTGAATCACTCTCTTGTTCCGTGTCAAATAACGTGTCTTACTTGGAAAGCTGTCAAATCGTCGACCAGGAGGAAACTCATTCAAGATGCATGTAATGAAACTGAAGAACCAGGAAAATATGCGGAAGTTTTGTCGACAGCTATTCAGCTATATAGTTGTGGAATGATGTGCTGTACGATTTTCTGCTATATTAACAAGACTCAACCCACCGATATGATACCTGACAACGAAATAAAGGCACGAAATGCAAAAACCACCAGGGTGTTTGGTTACCTTGAGAAACGCTTCTGGAGCAATTATCACTTGCGCACATACACCAAGAGTGCAGCGTATTGATTTGTTATCCTGTCTCCATTACTCCACAGCATCCAGACCTGGACTCTCTACGTACAACTCTTTACCAATGTCACTTGAGTCGTCTGCGTACAATCCTTCAGATCCAATGTACACTGAACACCGAATTTCTCCGAAGAGCAAACACTGTTGGGATTGAATACAATGTGATTGGAAACCAGCTCAGTCGGTTAGATTATTTGAAAGGGACGGTCAAAAATTGCATTCCAGAAAAACTTGCTCTCGAATAACTGAAGAATGATGTTAAAATCAGGGAAGCCCAAAAATCCTCTATCAAGATGGTCTTCATGTAAGTTTCCATTTCAGACCCCGTGAGAACCTGGTATTCCACAGAACGGCCTGAAGAGAGACTGCGTAAGCAGCTTTGTGAATAGTTGCGACATGTCACAGTACCGCAAAAAAGAAATGCGCCCCTGGGAAGGCCCTCAATTTAGCAGATACAGCCTCAACGATGTATGCGTTTTAGTAGAACTGGCCCTGTAGAACCTGTCATCCTAAGGATAACAGTTTCATTAACTGTATGGGATGCCGTCAAGTTATCCATTGCCTCTTTGACGTTGTGCTAATGGGTGGCTCTCTGTAGCCCCCCACATGGTGCTAAAGGAATGTATAGAAGACAACATATCTCGATTACAAACTATGTACAGTGATAAGTTACCGTATTTACGCTGGCTGACGGTTTGCGATAGGCTTCTGCAGATTCACCCGCCGACCTTATTCCCTCAGGTCTAAACCAGGGCCAAGGGCTTGCAGACAGCACATACTCGGCTCAACGCAATTCGTCTGTTGCTCTTCTACTACGTGCAGGCGTCCAAGCGTTCGGCCGCTGTTGACCGGTGAATCCGATTCAGATGCCAGTCGTCCAAGTTGAAAGAGATCACGGTATTAGTACGACACAGAGAAATGTCAAACACAGTATATCGCAGTGGCTTATGGTCAGTTCTATTTCCTGTTTGATCTCCGCTAAGAAGTGGAATGGCATCTACAGAGAATGGGCCTTAGAGTCCCATTCGGTTTGCCCTCTGGAGATGGTTGTAGCAGCAGAGTTCTGCACAGGGCTAGGAACCTCTGAAATCATGGTTGAATTGCCAGTAGAGTGGTACGAAGAACGTACGCGGAAGAACTCACACCAAGTCAACACGGACTGAGATCCAGAAAAAAGGCGTGGTAGAGTCCTCTGGTTAGCCCCGAACGAAGGTTAACGTATCAGCACGCACGCCCTAGGTCACACACCGGACATCGAAAAAGCCACTTTATGGAAGATAAGTGTTGAGTGAGCTGAAAGCAAGGGGGAATGTCACAATAAGAAAGTGAAAGTCCTCAGGAAGTCATAGAAGACATAACAATAAAGGACCATTTCCGATAAGTACAACCAAAGCGTACAGAATTCAAATCCAGAATGGGCTATCGTTACGTTGAAGTTGTTATCTTAATAGTTAGGCCAGACGGAGAATCCGGCACCGGTATTCTGAGAACATTAGGGAGTATCCGGACTCAAAACACCTGTAGCTGACGCATCCAAATTTTCTCCTGATGCTTGTTGGTATATTGTTGGTGTTGTTGAAGGGAATTTGCCCGTGGTCCTACCTCTTAGGCTGTATCCAGAATGCTTATACTCGCTGGTGTACACCTCAGCTTCACCAACCTCGATAACACATACATTCAATGTACCTATTTCAGCTACGAGCAGACAGCCTCATTCCTAGTTACCTAGATGACTTGCGCCCGAATGCCCCCCATCAAACACTGTTTTGGGGTCGTTTGTGAGATTTCATCTTACCATGAACACCCTTATATCCCTTAAACAGTTTCATGTTCACTTGGTCTGAAATCACTTATCAACGATGTTAACCTTACAGGACCTGTGAACTTTGTAGATGATTACCTAAACGACCATCCTTGTCTGGTAAATCTATTTGCTTCTAGTCTCGAACTGTGCGTTAAAAATTATGACGTTTTATTTTCAAGAAGCCAGCTGTAGACACACTCAAAGTACCGAGAGTGGGAGTTCTTTGACTGCCGAGTTGATAGCTATTTTGTAGCGAATTTTCAGTAGTCAGCGGGAAATTACGTTTCGCGCAATCACACATCCTGCAATTTTAGCTCAAGTTGAAGATAAGATTGACGGGAACTGGGCAACTACGCCGGGCTGATGGTTCGAAGAAGGGCAAAACCGGTTGTAGGCTGTCGAAGAGTTTCAGCAGATTTATGATCAGTTTTGTTTATGAAAAGACGTTCAACAGCCTTCTTGTAAGCGATATTTGACGACATTCTACGCATGACACAAGCCGGAGAATAGGAAAAAAACTCTCAGTATCACTTTTTAATGCAGCAAAAGGAATTAACAATTTTACTTACGGATTATTTTCAGCATGCTTCGGCCGGTGTGGATGCCGACATGTCATGCTCCGCCCAACGAAAGCCTTCGTGGTTTGGACGGTACCTAAATCCTCTCAGTCTACTTGTCGTCAGGGCAAACGTAGCTTGGTCTAGAATTCGGTCCACAGCGCAAGACTGATTTGCACTTCAGGTAGACACACTAAGGAGGCGAAAAATCCTCAGAACGGCGCCAAACACTTATCTCTATTATTCAATTAAAAACGCTTACAAAGGAGAAATGCAAATCGCACTACTATTCGCACTACTATGTTATTCACATTTGATTCGTTTAAACAAATTTTAAACCAGGTCTTGCGCGGAACACGTTGAGGCACGATTTCATGCCTCAGCATATAAAGTGTAACCCGAAGTCTGTTTTACAAACCAATCACTATCTTTATCAGTCCACTCGCGGTTGCGGTGGCACATATTGGCAAAGGTGACCGGCAAAACAGAACCTAGTAAAACGACCTTGTATACTGCTGATTGACTCTGATTTGAGTTGTAAGAGTTAGATCATCGATCAACAAGCATTTAATCAATAGAGAACATAAGGTTCCGTCTTGGTCTTCTTTCCAGGTCACCGCGAGAAGCACCTGTCAAAATAGACTGAAGCTCCTTGATGTACTGGTGATTAACAGATTCAAGCCCTCAGGAGAATTTTAGATTTACTTTGTGACCACCTTGATTTTATTGATTGGTCAGATAACGATTTAACTAGCCCTATGATTTGTCTCACGACATTCTGTTCCGCACTTATTGTAGTAGACGGGATTATGTGAAATTACTCCATCCTGCACCACTGGTATTCTCACTGCATGTAATAGCAGACTGGTTTTAATACCAAAGGAGAAGTTCCAAAGTACCTGGATCAGTCATTAAGATATCGCTAACAAAGCGGTCAGTTAGGTGCCTATTGCCAGTCCGTGTTCAGTGGCTATTGTTTGGCAATCGTATTTCAAACAAGGTTGAATGGACAGATTTGTGTAAACTATAGGTAAACATAACTAGCTTATTAACAATCTACTTAAGGCTTGCTCAGTTTTCTCAAAATTGGGGCTTTAGCCAACCCATTCGTGTAAGCACCTATTAAAGGAGCCATTTTCTGGCGGTCTTAATCAGCAGGATCACTGTGTTAGACTGTCTGCATTCAATTATCATGGCTTGGCTGGACTCTGCAATCTACATCAAAGTTATCACGTGCTCATACAATTCATGTTATCAGAACTGGAGTTTGTGACCACTTGGTCGTAATGTGCGCACTCATCAGCTGTTTCCACAGACCTGGCTCACAATCGTGAAATGTGCGCACACCTGTTTCCACAGACCTGGCTCACAATCGTGAAACCAGAGTTGCGAAGTTGAGCCCAGTGGACCTGCCCTACCCTTCGAAGAAACTGCACTGCCGAGTCATGTCATCGATATAGTTGAATGAGCATCGTTGTGGTGTGCGACAGCAACACATGCAAGTTGGGCTTCATATGTTGATACAGGCTCCGGAACTAAGAAGGTGACGGTCTCCTAGTTCAGTGCCTGTCGTACGGACGAAAACCTGATTCTCTTCGGCTTTTTTGTAGCCCGTTAACGGACTGTTCACATCCCGAAAGGTCATTCAGCTATGGACGTGGAGTATACGCAGTATGTTGTTACACATTACCTAACCGATGAATTCTAATGAGCTTCAACGATTACTTTATTCTTGGGATAGTCGACACCCACGATCAACTTCACCGCCCGAGCTCTAAAGCGAGCACGGGCACAGTCTAGTTCTCTCACCGTTGGGGCAGTGCCCACTCATACGTACGCGCGGCGAGAAACCGTGTGGTCATCCTGGTGATCGAAGAAAGAACATGCTCTACCGTGACGTCCCCGGCTAGCCAATTGCGAATTTCACCAGGCCTGGCATCTGCAAATCAGACGGACCACACGGGCGTTTTGTCAAGGCATGAAGTAGTGCCCTGGCTTCTGTCTGGCTAGGTCAAGGTCACCCTGGATTTCAGACCAAATCGCTGATTGGTTGGCAAGAGAGTGAGCGTGAGGCGACAGCCGGTTAGACCAATCACCAAGAAGCAATGACGCTGGACGTAAAATCAACCAATTGTCCCGCCAGACACGTGCACGTGCTCGCCGTGGTCCGTGCGATCGTTTTTGCTGCACTGGCTGGTGCATCGCGCAGGCGGCAGGTTTCTGCAACTGAGCTTCGCAATGGCGATTGTTTGTGCAGGCTGTGGTGACCCTATTGTTGAACGCACTCTCTTGAATGCCTTGGACAGATTCTGGCATACCGGATGTCTAAACTGTTCTTGCTGTGGATTACGTCTAGATGAACTGGGACCGTCAGTATTTGTCCGTTCAGATATGCTTCTTTGCAGACAAGATTATCTCAGGTGAGCAGTGTACAGCTTTTATTTTCCTGTGAATATTTATGGATGTGTTTTACGGCTTTACGGCTTATGACGGTAAACAATGTCTCAAACATCCCTGGATTGACCAAACTCATATTCACCAAGTAGTAAGAGGATTTTTACGCCTTCGATGTAACGAAGTACTCGAAAAGTGGTAACAAGGCACCAACTAACCCACTCTAAAGTCGGCTATCCGTACGAAAGGTTAGAATCGTTCCTGTCTGAATTGAACGTTACGATGCCGCGCTGGAATATTTGCATACTTAATGTGTTTGGTTTTTAATCCCATTAGCTGAGTTTCCATTTCGTTACTGCTACCATTGTCCTGATAACTGCAGGCGAGTTTCAAACTGAGTTCCATCTGTAGGTGCTTTTTCCGAGCGCTACCATCTCACCAAGTTGTCCTGGTACAGCTGAACGTAACCTCCCACTCACCAACCAACTCTTTATCCAAACAATTTCGAGTGAGATCGAGTTATAATCAGTCTTTTATACAAATAATTATAGATTACTGGGTCTCCATCAAGAGTTTCCGATAAGAACGATTTTACGTTCAATTGGGTTCAACGAGGTTACCTTGAACTTCACTGGTTGGTCTTAACTCGCTACCTGTTGCAGCTCTGTATACGCAGTGATACCTAGATTACGTGGACCTACTATAGTAGAAGCAAGTCGAGGGTTGGAGTCGTAACTAGTTCCGGTGTAGCTACGTTATATGGAATGTAGGTGAACTCGATCAATTCAGCTTCACTCTCATCCTATGTTTTGGAGTTCTTCGTGTATTTCATGCTTAGCTGAGCAACTTCACCTCACGAACCGCTTAGCATTGCTAGTTTGTTCGTTTTGTAACACTAGGGGCTTCCTATTTCATTGAGCATACAGGAAATCTGAAATGGGCTTCAGGTAGCCCGTTGGTTTAGTGCGTGAAATTACTGACCGGAAAGTCTATTATTAGAACCCAACCTCAGCATCTTATCTGCTCCTGTCTATGCTCGGACCACCCGGCTGTTATCATAAATCTGAGATAGAATGTCTTGACAGCTTGGTCATGAGGTGCGTTTAGAAAGTTCACAAAGCTGCAAGCTTCTTGAACTGCGTATCCCTCATCCTGAACTGAGTTTTCTGTCACGTGAAATCAGCGATAGAACTACATCAATATGAGTGATCAGACATGAAAGTCCCACATGCATAGCACTTATACAGTCGGGTAGTGTACATTGACAGGCGAACTTTAGCTATAAAGTCCGGCTAGGAAATGACAGGATGCGCGCCACTGGGGATGTTGGTGCACCATAACTTGCAGGGTTTCCAAGCACCAGCAAGCAGGATCATGTGGCCCCTCCCAGGGACGTACACTCACGTCCTGTCCCCGACAGACCTCTCGCCAACAATCGCTCGGAACGGGAAACAAGTCTTCAGTAGACAGCTGGGCGTAGGTAGCACATGCCTCAACCACATCAACCGTGTAGGCATAATCTACCGCCCCTGCGAACCGGATTCGTTACCAAGTGTCCGCTTACGTACCTCTTCACTGCGGACTCGCTGCAACCGGCGTACTCTTGTTTTGAAGGAATGGAGTAATGTCGTAAGACTTCATCCGCACGCAGATTGGGACTGCAGCCCAGTAATTTACGTATGTTTTCAGATCGGAAAATCTCACCCAACACTCCCTGGAGAAGGTGGCACCGTGAAATAGTTTTGCGAATTTGGCGCGTCACTTGTCACTTTTTTCCGCGCCAGTTGACTAAAGCAGTATTCTCGTAAATTTTCGGATTGATCGCTGATGAGAGTTTTGAATTACCAGTGAAAAAATCGTTCAACCCTATCCATTGGGAGTGGAACAACGGAGAAAGATATGAACAGTCTTATAATTTTACCCCGGGGTCTACCACAGCGGAACAGAAGCACTAGTCCTCAGAAAGATGAAGTCTTTCGTTTCAAGTTACCGTAACCACAGCAATTATAGTGTGGTCGTTGTGTGCCGTGCGTTTCAGAGCCTCTAGAACTCGAGATGACGCAGTGCTTATGGGGCGAATTTACTGACCGGAAGGTCCATGGTTGGAAAGCAACCGTAGTATCTTGACTGTTATCGTCTAGGCTTGGGCAACCTGACAGTATCTGTCTTCATTTACCTTTCCAATGTCATGGTAACTAGGCACCAAGCGGTACAGCTGAACGGTTATTATATTCGATTTTATGTGCTTCACATGTTGTCTTGTGATCCTGTGCCACTAGGCGGTGGCCCCTGTGTTTTGATGAAGTGGTGGATATTGCCTTACTCATCGTTTTTACGTGGTACGTTGAATGGGTGAAGATGGGCCCAGTCAGGAAGATCTCGTGATCAGGTTGAAAGGTAGGCTATTTGGTTATCACACGCCTTGGGAGCTAAACAGCAAGGTGCTTCCGATATACTCCGTATTTCCATTTTTTGCATAAATTAAGGTATTCGTGGTTAACCACGAATGTAGTTATTCTCCATTGGCAACCGTCTTGTACACAAACATAAGTTTTTCCTGACTTATATGGTTGCTAGAGATTCCTCGATACCTCACGACTGATTTCGCTTTTCTTGGATGTAATAAAACTTGCTTAGTTTGAGTTTCTTCCCAAAGCCCAATCGAAATCATCCAAGGGCTGTTGAGATTATTTTCATATTAATGTAAGGATTAGAGGAAGTGACTACATTCGTTACCCAAAAATGGACTTGTCATTTTTTCTCAGGTTTCAGTCACCTCATCTCAGCAGCAGGCGGCGCTGAACTCTTGCCAGCGCTACAGTTTTCAAGCTTTTGAGTCAAATGACCTTAAGCTTTCCTCTTAACACGAGACCGTTCTCTGGTAAAATCGAATTATCAATGCTGTTCGGTAGTTTGACCAGAAAGGACTTTGTGTGTGTTCCACTCTACCATGACAGGCTTCACGTATGTATTTGTTCCATTCGTGTCTCTACCTCTCTTTTCTGAATCTCATCCCAGCTCCGGATAGCTCTATGATTTAGGTGCAAAACCTTGTTGCTGGGAGGTTCGTAGTCCAAGCCCAGTTCTATCTTTTCGTCTGCCGGTGTGTACGTTGAGGCAGTACGTTGGGCTAATAGTATCTCAGCCCTCATGCTTTCTTCGGGTGCTAGGCGCCGAAGAGATGTCACGGATGGACCATTAGTATTAATTAACTGTTGGCAAGGTATTTTTCCATCTCTGGTTAGTGTAATTTTCTTGCACAAATGATCTTTTCTTCGGATACAACTTTTCATTCCATCGGGATCTGTGATATCGTCCTGTACAATCTTTCGATTGTTGTTTTTCGCACCGCTCGGAGAAGTGCTCTAATGCTTTTCACGACACTGCAGTCAGTAAAATCATCTATCTCCCGTGGTACAAGTTGACGAAGTCATGTGAGTTGCATCCGTTCAGACTGACGATCGGTTGACATGTTTTGACCTGTTTAGTATAGTGGGACTGAGCCTGTTTCGCCTCAGAGCGGGCCGAATGAGGGTATAGTTGCAGATAAAACTGGCAGTCACGGCGACTGCTCGGTTCCTCCCGTAACTTACCCCATCGAGACAGTACTTGCTAGAGCGGAGGATTCAGCCTGCAAAGGAGAATTTCAGTCACCAGAATAAGTTTTTTAACAGTGCGGGTTAGTACTGCAACTCGTTTTAGTCCATTATCATGGTGAGTATTCCTTTACACTCAGCATCAGCATCCTACCAGCAGAAATCCTTCATCGTGCGCTCAACTTGTTCATCAAAATCTTCGGCATTCAACATTCGATGGGCGAATTATGAGCAGAATGTTTAGACGACCATGTATATCTTTGTAATGTACTACTCATAAGGTTGCTGAAAATCCGTCGACAGCCCACGACCGGTTTCGCCCTTTTTGGGACTCATCAGGTAGGCGCAGTCTCCGGGTTTCCGTCAACCTAATGTTCTACTTGAAACCAAATTGCACGAAATTCGCGAATATACACCCATTAGCAAACTAATTGGTTTTTCGAGACTCACCAGGAACCCAGCTGAATTCCTCGTTTGTGATGTTCTCAGGCAACTGAATGTGCTGCACCAGGCCACCTCATGTTTCAGTCGCTACGATATTCGAGATATCGCGATACGTGTATATCTTTGTAATGTACTACTCATAAGGTTGCTGAAAATCCGTCGACAGCCCACGACCGGTTTCGCCCTTTTTGGGACTCATCAGGTAGGCGCAGTCTCCGGGTTTCCGTCAACCTAATGTTCTACTTGAAACCAAATTGCACGAATCTTTGTTTCTGGGGTATTGTTAAGTACGCCCCGGAATCCATTTGTATGAAAAAAATGAAATAAGGTGAGTGAAAATCAGGGGTGAGATGGCTCAGTGGTTATAGCGCGAATTTACTGACGGGAAGTTCCGTGGTTCGAACCCGACTTCTGCCTCTCGACTTCCCCTGTCTATGCTTGAACAACCCAGCCCTCGTGCTCCCTACTGGTGGTACGGCAGTTGGGCACCGAAAGAGTGCTACAGCTGAGCGAATGAAAATCAGGCAGAGTTCTAGTAGAAAGCGTACTAGGAACATCATGAAGAGTTTCTCAGAGAAAACGACCCGGGTTCACGATACCGTGTCGGTGAAAGACCACATCAGAAGTGGGGAAGAGAAAAAACAAACCAAAATCCTACAATTGCGCGGGGAATAACTGCCATTATTCGATTTTTTGGGCTGATGCCTACACGTGAATAATGGCTGGCTATTCGAGCGACTTTGTGTGCTTATCTTTGAGAAAAGAATCAGTGGTTAAATGGCACTAATATCTTACACCCATTCAGAAGGGCCACCATCTCCGTGGGGCGAATCCGTCACACAAGGGAGCTAATTTGTTCAACTCTGAGTGTTCTGTACGAAAGAGGATCTCCATCTATACCGTCTTGTCTAATTGTGTGCATTCAGAATATGCAACACTGAAGCATTGTACATGATGCCCAATTGATACGTAAATAGTATTTTGGT